CAAAGAAGAAAAAAAGAGCGTTGTAGAGATTCCTCTGCTTGCACCTGCGTGTAAACTTTTACAAATAATGTGTGTTCAGATGGGGAAACGCTACATTGCAGCAGTAACCTGGTTTTCCTGGTATGTTGTAGAACAGTCTGCCTCTGACTTCTGGCACGCGCAAGCGTGCTCTGCTGTGGGCAATGTGACGCGATATGTCTCCAGAGGCCAGGGAGGAAAAGGCTTATACTAGGAAATTTGAGCATATGGATCACAAGCCTTAGCTGGTGGGAATTGCTTTGCAGCCGTTTATGTGAGTTTAGGGAATCTCTGCTGCGTTCGGTGTGATTCCGACCATGGCCTCAGCCCCCCGCCGAGGAAAAGAGCAGGCGTGGGTATAACTTATCTCGACCCCGTGTCCCTGGAGGAGAATAAAGCCAAATAGAAAGTCCCCAGGAACCTCCCGCCAGCCGTGGGAATTGGAGTGAGTCAGTCCGGTGGTGGCTGGGAACAGAAGCAGGAGGACGGCGTGGGGGGGTGTCAGGGCTTCAGCAGACAAATGGAAGGGGGAGCATCTTGTAGGCAAGGAAGGGCTCAGAGGCAGGAGTACCTTAGAAATACCTGAAATATTTTAAGGCATCTCTTCCCTTTGGGCTGTGGCTGATACATTTTGAAGAGAGAAAGTCCAAAATTACCTCAATTTCTGTGCATGTTTCTATATCTGAATACCGTACATTTCCATTTAAAAATATGAATTGGGCATTTTCTACCAATTGAAACTAAGCTTGCTCTGGCTAGAAATTAAGATCAGAAGAGTTATAAAACCAGCAGACTGCTCCTACAAATTCAGTGTGAGAGAGAGGGATTTCTAGTATTGGCACAAGCAGCTTTTCCCTCTGATTTCTGAGCTCTCTTGCCTCAGAAGGAGAAAAACATAAATGTGTTAATCTGTATAATGCCCTTACACAATTTCTTAGGGAGATTCAACAAACCACTAATTTGAAGGGTTGATTTCTCTGTCATTTTAACAGCATTATTATCCTTTTAAGAAAAAAGATTTTATCTGAGGCACCCATCAAAATACTTACATAAATTGAGAAAGAAAGGGAAAATCTTTCCTTGCTTAAGGAATTAAAAATGTAAATAGGATCATTCTAAATTGCACTGTGTAGGGGAAAAAAAATGTGATTGCTGTGAATATTTTAGACAATAGAGTTACATTTTGCTGTAAATAAATTTATTTAGTCTTCTGTCCTAATAAATGGAATGTAATATAGGGGAGAGCTGAAATTGGATGCTCAGAGTGGGGACTTAGTTGAAAATTGATAAGGAATGAACACTGTAACAGTGTAGGTTTTCCTTTCTGCTTCTTATATTTAAAAAATAACATCTAAAGAACATTTTCACAACGACATAAAGATCATAATCTTCATAAAATCATATTGTTTGCTGTCTGAAGTGCAGTTTTCAGAACTATTTAAAATTTCCCTGGTAATACTTCACAGACATTTGTCTGCTAACATATATGTCAAGGTGTTTTTTTCAAATAATGGAATTTTCCAAAAGGATATCTCTGTAGTGTTAGAAAAGGAGTTGCAGTAGTAACCCTTGGTGTTTACTATCTTGGATTTCTATGTTATTTTTTCAACAGCATTTTTTCTGAGGGTTTTTTTTTTTTTTTTTGCTTTGCATGTAGTAGTACTTTAAACTGCTTCTTCCTTTGATACCTTAAACCTCATAGGAATTTAAATAGGCCCCTTCAGAAAGTAATGCTTGAGCCTCATTCATATGTTCTTAGATCATTATTCCTATTAATGGCTTTAAGTGCTTAGATAGTAGATCAGCCTTTCCTGTCTTGAATTGCTTGTCATTTCTGCATAAATATGTTTCAAGATATCGTTCCACGTGATCTTTTTCTCTTTTTATTCTTTTTAATTCAAAAGCATTGTGTAATAATATTTTTTTTAATTTATTGGGTAGTGAAAAATAAACTTTTTGGTTTTGCTAAGTTTAAAATATATACTGAATCATTGGAAGCAAATTGCAAAACTGACTCTCATCTGGTAATGTGAATTTTTCAAAGGGCTGCATTATGACTTAGAAGTGCCTGTTTTTTAACCATCTCTTACTCTCCCACCTTGTTGAAATGGTCAAGACATTTAAAGAAAAAAGTTATGTAATTCATGGGGGAAAAGTTACACTGTTTGATTACTCGCATAGTAGTCACAGAACCATCAGTTATCCTCATCACATCAGTTTGGATTTGATTATCATAGAAATACATTGAATTACCAAACTCCAGCAATAGTAACTAAAACTGATGCATTGTGATTGCTGACAGTGGATGAGGACTCACTTACAAGCCATATGAATGGGTAGAGTTATGCAAATATTGGTTTTATAACAGGAGAAGAAAAACGTAGAGCGGCCATTGCAATGTGGGTGGTAGGATAGATGAGGATTTTTTTAATGCTTGTCTGATAGCTTTTAGTTGTTCTTTCATTTTTTAATGAACATTACAAACAGGATATATTTTAAAAACGTTTAATGTGTTTCCAAAGAAAGGAAATGAGACATTTCACACAAGATTAAGTCTGACTGCAGGAAACGATCTGGAAAGTCCCAGCCTTAAATTTGACCCCAGAAATCATCCTGGCATTTGCTATCTACCGCCTCTTTAAATCTTCTTTTGTGCACATACAATATTTTGGTCTTTAAAATGCAACTCCTATATCCTGCTCCAAAAATAAGGTTTCCAAGGAAGTAGGGTTATCTGCAGTTTTGTGGAAAATGAGAGGATAAGACTATGGATACTGCAGTCTATAGTGAAATCTGGAGGGCAAAAATACAACATGTGAAACTGAAATAGCCGAAGACTGACTCCGTTAAAAATGTTATGAACTCGCTCTCACCTGTGAACGACTATTTTGGAAAGGTCATTGCGTAGTTCATTAAAACTCTTTTTAGTTTTTGTGAATGAATAAACCTTTAAAGCAAATACTTGGAAAGTATTTAGATCTGGTTCATACAATATATCTGATGATTATGCAGAAATGTACCATTTTGTTTTTTCTTATATTAGAAATGAATTGCTTCAGACCATTTCTCTTCTAAATTTTATATATACATAAAAAAGGGCCTCTGTAGCTCTTTGTTATTTTGGTTTCATCCAAATGCAATTTTTTTAAGCTTAAAAACATTTACATTTTTTTTTGTTTTCAAATAATGTGCTTCAGGATGCATTAGTTTAATCAAGATACTTTATGCTTACACTGTGGTCTAAAATTAATCAATGTTCAGTGGAATATTAGATCTAAAAAGGATGATTTCAGAACTACCAAAGGCAGTGTGTTTCAGTGGACTAGTTTCAGTGCAGACTAAAAAGTGGCTTCTGGTTTCAATATTAATTGTAAACATTTTATTATAGAATAGTTCTTTATTCGTGTTTTGAGCAGAGCGAAGAGAAAAAAGGCTCCGTGTGCCATCTAGTGGCAGTGTTCAGGTGGTCTCCCTAAATTTAATTCTTTCCTTAACTGAGGCACTGCTGATGATGCATTCAGTTCAAAATGATAGCTATAGTTTCTCCTTACTATTTTCTTTAAAAACATGTCACTTTACCTTGGAGGTGGTAAAATTCTATACCTGAGCTAAAGCAAGAAATCAGACGGATATCTGAATTTTTCCAAGAATTATCGATTTAGTTAGAAATGTTGCTACTACAGCTGAGCGCCCCATCGCTGTGTGAAGAACACTGATTTCTGTGAGCACAGAGTGGACTTACTGGTAACACGTGGTGTTATTTTAAGACTTCACTTTTATGTAACTGGCATTACTGCCTTGAGAAACCACTATCCTGGGAAAAGAAATTATTCTTTACATTTCAAATCTTCGTTAATGAGCATACCTTTTGTCTCTGCCTTAAATCTCTCAGAAAATTCTAATAAGGTATTCTTTTTTTAAAAAAAAAGTACTATTTCTTTCCTTTTTATTTTTTTAGAGAAATCCAAGACCAGTGACTCACCAATTCCAACAAAATTTAGATTATTACAAAGCACGTGGAGCAGACTTGATGAACAAAACCCGGTAAGCTATTTCTGAACATGTGTTCACCGAACTAAGACTTTACATAAACAAAATGTTTCATAAATCACTTTTATTCCAAACAGGAATTACATAAGCATTATTAGAAGTGCATGTGTTTATTTCATGACATTTATTTTTAATCTTTACCTTGCCTACTATTACATGAAAAATGAAAATTTTACAGATAGTGTTGTTGTCAGCTCACTGGCACTTTTTTAAGGCTAAGGACATTAATATGCAATTACGTATATACTAAAAGAAAGACGAAAAATGTTGCCAGTGTGAGTTCTGTAGCTGAGCTACTTCCGATAATGCATCTAATCGCAATCTGGAGTATCCGTGTACCAGAAGCTGTGTAAGTTAAATGGAATTAATGTAAATCCAGTCTAAAGTAATTTTTACTAAACCTTTTTGTAGCATTCCTCCCTTTTTTTAGAAACAGTTTCAATCCATACTGCTTAAATTCCTTGTCGAGGTGACCTGATCTGGTGGTCACACACGTAGAGGTGCCCATGCCCCAACTGGGTGGCCGCAACGTGGACGCCGATGGCCGGTGGCTGCCGGTGGCTGCAGGGCACCACGCGGTGCCTGGCTTCAGTTTATACCCTCACAGGCAGTTTCTTGGGTTGCTCGTGACTCCAGCCATATACTGTGCCTGCTCATTCACAGCAACTTGCTGGCTTTTAGGCCTTTGCACCTCTGTCAAACTGTGTTTAAATCCTTTACATTAATGGTTAGCTAAAATTAAAATGGAGTGGATTAAAAAGCTCTTAAAAAAGGAGAAAGGAGCAGAAATTAAAGCTGAGTAGAGTGACTGTAAAGCATCTTTTTATTTGTTTGTTTTAAACAAGACTTCAAAGTTGGGTAAGAGGGTCAAATAGTACTGCATTCTATTGCATTTTCCTAATATTTTTGCTTATTTATTCTTTTAAAAAATGGTCTGAAGAGTTGCCTAAACTTGGAAAACAAATTATTTGAAAATTCCCTAAGAAACATTTCAAGGATTTTCAAAAAAATAAATAAAACATAAAACTCAAACAAGAATCACACCTGTTGGGAATCTAAATTCTAAGGAAACAAATGTTCATTAAACCTATGTAGGAATATAAGTTCATTGCACACGTCGATACAGGATACACACCAAAGGAGAGGAGAAATTGTCTAGAATAGCTCAGATAGAGGAATAATTGGGATAAATTTGTATCAACACAAGAAAATTTAGAGTACATCAAATGTGGTAAATCTGTTTAAGATTGCACTAAAGAGAAAACTGGAAGACATAACATTAGGAAATGCCTCTGCAGTGAGCAGAGATGGATTAGATCGGCTACCAGGTCTTTTTCATCTTTAATTCCACAGGCTTAATGATATATTTAAAATATCTCGGCAAATCTCTAATATATATTGGTTATTTTATCACATATAAAACTTTTTAATCCATCATATTCGTGTATTTGTCTCTCATCTCTCACAATGGCTACTTACTGAAGAGAGAAATGCCTTTGAATAAGGCTTGCTTAAAACAAAGCATTTTCATCTTAGCAGAAAACTGCAGAGATTGAATCATCTTCCTACTGCTGGTTTAAAAATATACCATTCACAGTCAAGGTCAATGATGCTTATTGTGATCAAACAAAATTGTTTGCTTCATAGATGGAATTCACATCTCCTTGATACTCATATTTTTAAACATGCCTTACTTTTAAATGCATCTGCTGATAACTACAACATAATCAATCAGCATTTTTCTTGTAATTGTTGTGCATGTCTGGTACGTTTAGATGGCTAAAATATAGACATTGATCCATGTTTAATAGCTGTAATCATCCTTTCCATTAATATATCAGACATTTAAATGGTAAGAAATAGATTCATTGTTCTTATTTTCCTGAACTTCAGCTCAGTTTTAACGTCCCTCCTCCAGAGATCTAGCACCTTGCTATTGTTTATCTTCTGAAGCTGCAACTCAGAGAAAGTGCAGAATAAATGTTACTTAAGAATACTTTTATTAAGATCAGCTCTTCACAAGAAATTTAGATAATATAATTATTTATTTTTCACATATGTGTATGTGTTCTGAGCTGATCATTATAAGCTTTGTCTCATGCATCTGTTGACCATCATCATTCCAATGATGCAGTCAGGGCAAAGCATCCAGTGGCTTTGTTGCTTGGGTAGCCTGTCAGAGAAAAAGATTTACTTCCAGTAAGTCTCATGTTTTGAGCAAAGTCCACAGTTTTTTTACTGCTTGTCAAGAATCTAGACCTATAGACAACACAAACCTAGGACTCAATGTGCAAGCCATGATTTTCTTTTTAAGGTGATGCTTCAGGTGAGTGAGTGATATATGCCACCTCAATCCTGGTGATTAGTTTCAGTAGACTGAGGGGAAAAAATATGTCAAATATACTAAAGTTTGGGTTTTGAAACTCAACCAAGTTATTATTAGTGTGACCCCTGAAATCAGTGCTGTAATTTGATTCATTGCAAACTGTTGAGAATTGATTGATACCTGCCAAGCCAGCATTTGACTTTTCTTCTTTCACCTTCAAAGCTACAGTCTTTGTTTTCTTTCTGGAATGGAGATGACATTGAGCAAAAGGCTTTATGCTGACTCTTCTGATGACACATATATGTGATGGAATAGAAAAAAAATCCCTTTTTTCCCTGAAGTGTCTCTGCAATACCTTGGGGAACTGATTAATAACTGAATCTCCTTGGTAGTAGCAGAGTAAAATTTAATAGTAATAAACCGTGTCCTCTTCTTTAAAATCATTAGGACCTATTCAATGTGCTTTTGAAATGATTTGAGAGTCCTGCAGAAGTATTTTATAGTTCTGAAGCTGTTGTCTTTGCAGTGACTTTGTCCGCCATTCAGGTCACTATGGGAAGACTTTTGTAATGTCGGCAGCAATCAGTAAAACAGAGAGACAGAGAAACACCCTATAATCATTATTCAGCCATCATTCCTTTCCAGCTTCCAGAAACTGGGAAGCAGCACTTTGTCCCACTCTCTGCGCTGCTGTTCCTCCTAAAAAATGATACGTGCTGCCTTTCTTCATCACCAGTATATGGCAGAAGGGCCCCATACAGCTTGGGGCTGTATCTCCTAAGTGTGCATCTTCTGATTTCTCTCATTTTAACTGTATCTATTCTGAGTCTAAACAACTCAGCTGTTGTTATTTTCTGGATATGTTCTATATGTGTACTCGCATTTATATTGTGTATTCTAAAAAAAAGCACATATCTAGAGACAAATAGGGAAATGATATGAAAAGCAAAATCAAAATTACTTTTCCAGGTGCCTGCACAAGTAACAAGTCACCCATATTAATTCATTTGTAACTTATTTTTAGTCCAACTTCCCCAAAACATTGCAAAACTATTTTTTCCCCAGTACAACAATTGTATTGGTTTGAATTACATGTATTTCTTCAAATTTTTTAAAGACAGCTATTTATATCACTAAAGTACTGATCAGTAAAATAAAACCTCAGGAGTGGAAAGGTGTCATGGGTTAGGCCGCTCCAGCAACTGAACCCACACAGCCGGTCACTCACCCTCCCCCACCCCCAGGAATGAGGGAGAGAATTAAAGGAGAAACGGGAAGCCCGTGGGTTGAGATAAGAACAATTTAATACAGATGATTTAATACACAGTGTAGATGCTCACCACCCCCTCTTATCCGCAGCCCGTCTCGTCCCGAAGCTGCAATCCCGGACGAACGCGAGGCCCCGAAATAGAGAGGGGCAGAGAGAGAGAGAGATAGTACTCCGAGAGTGGGAGTACTGGGAGAGAGAGAAAAAAAAAGGCAACAGAGCAAAAGCGCAGCAAGCACAAAAGAGCAAAAGCGGCGAAAGAGCGAAAGCACAAAAAGCCCTTCTGTCCGGCTGACCCTCACTTTTATACTGGGCATGACGCTGCATGATATGGAATACTAATTGGTCAGTTTGGCCCTCAATCTTAAGTTCCACCATAAATCACAAGGGGAATCGTGTCCCCCTTGTCCCAACTATGCTCCCCCCTTATCCCGCCGTGCTTCTGCACTCCGACACACTGAAAAGTCCTTGGTGTCTCACGTCCAACCACAAACATCAACTTGCTATCAGCATTCTTCTCAGAGCAAGCCTCTGAGTAAAACCAAGACACGGAGCTCTTCTAGCTGCTAAAAAGAAGAGCTAACACTGTCCCAGCTAAAACCAGGACAAAAGGTCTCTGTGATTGTGATATATTCCTGTGAAGGGTATTTCGAGCATTAATTATATAAAACAGGAAAATATTGCATGAACAAATAGGAATGACTTTGCTGATCCCTGGGTTATGTGAACACTTCTACTGGGAATTAGAATCTTCTTTGCCTCTATATTTTAGACAGATTAAATGGTTCAACAATTTCCTCAGTCTTAATGTTGCATATAACTGAATTGAATTAAATAGCCACTGTAGTTAAAAATAAAAAGTAACGATACAGATCATGATCCAGTATATGTGCTATGTTCAGGAGCAATTCTTCAGCTAAATCACTTTCGAAATCAGGATTCCCATTAAAAAGCACTTGGCTTGAAATGGCTGGACTGGCAGAAGGTGAAGTAAAAGCAAGAGACATCCAGCTCTGCCAACCTAAAAATACAATCTAGTGTTAATTTTGCTTATTGAAATAAATGTTTAGATTTGAGTTATTTTGAACATTTAGGAAAATGTAATCTAGCAGAAGTAAATATTAAAACAGTCTTTGAATAAGAAATGCAAAAAGTCAGTTTTATCAAGTTATCAATGCTGTAGAGCCTGGATTGCTTTTTGTCACTTTCACTTTTTTCGCTTAAAAAGGCAAATTAAGAAAATTGGTAGAAACTTGCTTTGGGGTTAGTCTGCATTTTTCAGGAACAAAAGGTCAAAAAAATTTGTCCATGACTGACTGGGAAAAACTTGCACCACACGCAGTCCCTGTTGTTCCTCTGTACATTCCAGTGCGACTGTGGTAAAACCACCTCTTTGTAATGCTCAGATCTTGGAACTTTTTCCCCCAGTTTTGGAGAACAATGCATGCATCGCTATCTGAATCGCTATCTGAATGGTTGGCAAGGATGTGATGACTTCTCCTCTCCTTTTTTCAGCGCCAGTGCTAAGGCTGCCCCACTGAACATTAACAAAGTCTCCAACAGCTTACTGAATTTTGGCCGAAAGCTCATCGCCCCAGCTATGGCTTCAGGTGGGGCTGGGGGTGCTCCTGCTGGCGGGAGCAGCTTTCCTCCCCCTGCAATGCCCATCAGAACCGCAGTGGAACCCCCCCAGCACCACCACCACCACCACCACCACCACCACCACCAGCAGGCACAGCAGCAGAGGATGATGAAGTCCGAAAGCATGCCAGTTCAGCTGGGCAAAGGTAAAACGTATGGAAACGCTACGACAGAAGGAAGCTTTGTTGTACACCTTAAGGACTGAACAAAGTCCTATTATTGATTTTATAATGTTGGGTACATAGTTAGAGGAAATAGAAAAAACAGAATTTTGTTAAGCAGGAGGTCTATGCTAAGTACAACAGAATATTTGCAAGGTAATGAAGAATTACATGTTATCTCAAGAATGTACAAATACTATAGGAAGTTTTGAACCTTTAAAAAAATATTAACCAAAAATTACATCAGACATACCAACAAACTACATCGTTACCATAAACATTAGCCAATTAATTTTTCAGTCTTTTAAATGCAACACATTTTTAACTGTAAGACTAATTTCATATAGTTTTCTCAGGGTATCGGCACAAATCCCATGTATAACAATATTGGCTAAATACAACTGAAGGAAGTTAGATCAATTACACAGAGTAATTCTTAATAAATGAAATCTTATTCCCTTTAGAATGTATGGAGCTTATTTAGAAGTTATTTGAACATAACACGTATTTGCCTTTCCACAATTTCTGATGGCCCTCTGCACTTTACCACTTCTTTTTTACCGCTTCTTTTTCTTGAAGAAGTAGTATTCTTTCTTTTATATTTCTCGAGGACAGTTTATTCAAACAACAAAAGTCTCAAGCTCAGCTTTGGTAGTTGCTTCCTATACTCTGCCAGGCTCCAGGTGCGTTACTGCTTTTCATCTTCAAACAGCCTATGGCAGTATGTTGTTTGCAAGGAGTATGTAGAACCTGCTGCTTCTAGCAACTCATCCTAAATAATGGTTATAAATTAGAGGGCTGGTTGCTGGTTGCTCTGAACCATTACATAGGATTACGTCGTATTTTTCACCAGATTTGAATGTATAAGAAAATGGAAGTAGCACTTTGTAGCTGAAGTTTGTGTTCTTTGTCTTTCCTGTGGCACCCATATGGCCCAAAGTTAGTCCTTTCACGAGGCATCACATCCCCAGCAGACACTGAGGGAGGAGAATTGAAAGGTACAACTGTTCTCTTGAAGCAGAGAGATACAGGCACTTCTGTAAGGGCCGCTGCTTGGCAAAATCCAGATTCGCAGCTTCTCTCAGAGTCCTAGAATAACCTTAGAAGTTGCTCCAGCAAGGGTTTTACAGTGCAGACGTGAAACTGAAACGCAGTGAATCCTTGGTGCAAATCCTGTTCATGACAATAGGAATAAAATTAGGCATGAAACGAAATTATTTCCACAATTTTGGAGAGGCTCTTTTGTTTGCTTTTTTAAAGAAGTTTTCTGTAGTTCCCTTATCTATCACATGATTTATTTTTTTTTAACTTTCAGTTGAAAAGTGGTCCTCAGGTGGTTATTTTCTTTTCCCTGCTTGATATGAAAAAATTGTAAAATTTGAAGCAACTTCTGTAAGTGGATTCGCTTGTAGCTTTATCATGGTCTAGCTGGTCAAGGACAACCCTGTTTACACTCGTATGGGACGACTAACATGTTGCATCATCCAGAAATGCACTTGATACTTTCCATACAAGAATCAGAATTAAAAATTGTACTTATGTTTGGGCTTTGTCATGTATAAGCTGTGCACATATTTCTCGGTTAACAGGAATATGGAGATTTAGTAAAGTTATCAAGAAATTACGCAAATTTATGTTGTAGGGCACAAAGAATTTTTATAGTAAGAGGACATAAAACTTACTGCAACACTCTGGTACCTGCAGTGTCCTCTCACCCTATTCTGCCTATCCATACTTGGGACAACACTTGCAGAAATAATTTAAAGGCAGAAAAATGTAATTTTTTTTTTTTAATTGGCTGAGGTGACACAGTTTTGTTTTACATATTAGTGCCATGCTTGTTGTTCCAGACCTGTACAGTTCTTGGTATACTGCCTGTAGTTGGATAGAAATTGTGAATGACAACATCTAACTACATTTGCAAGTGCTGTAATTAGTATTTTTAAAGAGAAGCCCAAATGGCAGTCGAAATACAAAGTCTCTTAGAGGCTGCCCAGTGAATTCTCCCTGAATTAAGTTTGTATGTAGGAATAGCTTAGCAAAAAAAAAAAAAAAAATTTGCAATGACACTGTGACAGAGAGGTTAAAAAGACTCTTTTGAAGCATGATGCAGGTACCTTTGTAAACAACGCAGCACCACCTCCACCATACATTGAAACCGAGAACAACTTTTCAACTTCTGTGCAGCAGGAAAGTATCACCACCTCAAGAAAGTGCTGTACAGCATCTCAGTGAATGAGGGCACTCCCCACAGCTCTGAGAAGTTGCAGGTGTTTTTGTCCCAGGCATTAAGATTTAGGATTTAGGATATAACCATACCCTGAAAAGCTGTCGTTCCACTCCTTCTGTTTGTGCCAAACTTTTTACGTGCCTTTTTACCTTCTGCACTGTCTTTTTTCAAGCTCTGGATTCTGCTCTAGCTTTTGGGTATCTAAAATCTACTTTGCATGGTCTGTAACTATAAGGCTCCCAAGTTACTGACTGGCTGTCACTAAATGTCTTATGTTCCTGTTCTTCACTGTGTTTTCAGCTCCCTGGAACCTTCTGGAGCTTGGTTATTAGCTGAGATAGGCAGAGGCATGGATTTAGGATTTCACTTGACAGACATCTGCACTTCCAGTTAATCTAACACTCAGAAATGCTCAGTTGGACGATATAACAGACCCAAGAGCTGTAAATCTGACAAGCATCAAATCAGTAAAGGAAGTTACCCATTTTTCTTATATTGTATTATTCCTTTCAGGTTTTGAATGCTCAAGTAATGCTGATAATTTAAATTAATATGTAGAAAGTTATACGTTCAAAGAGATTAAATCAAATGCCTGATCTACGTTTTTATTAAGTGTGAAGAAGTCCTTGACAACAAAATATCTTGCAGGACTAGCAAAATTATCCTATGCGAGCTTTAGCAGCTCGGTTTCGGCAGTTAGCGCTCACAGAGCAGCAGCAGTGACAGGTGTCATTCATGCTTCCACCTCCAGGGGTAGCTTGTGCTGGGCTTTAGATGAGAGATGGTTGGTTTACATAATCCATAGTAATTCTTTCAAATTTTGGTACTTGCTGAATTTCTTTAAGAAAAAAGTCACATAATTTAGATAACGTAAACGGGAAAACAGCCGACTAATATTTTAAAAAAGCGTAATTGCAAGCCTGTAATTCCAGATGAGTCTTCGACATCACAAATCACAGTTGAACAAAGTATCCAGGCACCTAATTGGAAATTCAGTTCCTCCTAATAATATATTAATCCTATTCAGCCTGTCCTCAGCACAGAAGATTGGGTATCGTTACTGATTACTTATGCAAGGTAGGCTGCTAATAGAAAAGGGATTAAAATAGTCTCTTGATCCTACACAATGAAGAAATTAATTGGCAAAATTTAAATTCAAATCTTGAGTTCATTGGATTGTCAGCTGAGTTTGTTGTCTTGAAAGATAAAAATATTGATACTGAAAAGTCTGGAAAAAAAAAGCAGAATTGTTATCCTTTGCGTTGTACTGGATTCTTGAGCATTCAGAAACTGCATACTCTGATTACCAAATGACAGTGTGTTGCCAGAAAAAAAAGAAGCATTTCTCTTTCACTTTTTCCCTGATAGTGTCAGATACAGTTTTCCTTCTAGGTCCTTTCATGCTGAAACCCGAAAGGCTTTTTATTTGAATGCCACTTTATCACAAGGACACATTAGAGGACCAGTTTGAAGATGAAGTTCTGCCAAAACTGTGATCAGCTATTTAAAGAGTTTCCAGACTACTGTTTGTTTTTATGAGTTGATACTTCTGCAGTATTTGTTGTAACACGAACAGAATTTCCAGTCACCGAATATGCCCTAAAGAAATGATCTCCATATTTAGAATTATTTATGAACTATGTCTAGAAAATGAGTACACTTTTTCAGGAGGAAAAAGAAGTTGTCCTTAGTGATAGCAGAGCTGAATAAAAATGAAAGAAATAAAATACTGATTAACAAATGCTTTTTTCCTTTTTAAGCAAAATACATACATATTCTTAATTAATTACAGAATTGTATTGACAGTAAGAACGTGATGCTCCCAGACTAGCAGAATGACCCTATGTGAAGTACCAGAAACAAAATGGGTTTGTTTATTTTAGTTCAGATTTTGCTATAATCGGGTTTAAAACCACTGCTTTTTTTTTTTTCCATACGACGCACTGATTATTAAAACTTTCCCCCCTCTGCCTGCTCGTCTACCGTTCTCC